ACGGTCTACATAGGTGAAAGTAAGCGATTCTTAAAAATTAGATTAAATGAAAACAAAAAAAAAACATTGACTCAGATACAATAGTAGCTACACATAGAAGAACTCTCTCACATGAATTTTACTAGGACAAAGCTAAGATATTGGATTATGACAAAAATTATAAGAAATGCAGAATATCCGAAATGTTGTACATCGGCTTACATAAAAACACTTTGAATAGAAAAGAGGATATACAATATCTTAGTCATATTTATAAGCCTTTATTAAGATCGATGAGAAAGGGATGATAGATGAAGAATAAATATATATGTGTTGAAATACTTGATTTCTTACTGTATTGTAACGTGACTGGCTACGAGCTATTTGTTTTAGCCTATAATAATTTGACTACGAGAGAAATCAGGTACACACATATACATATAATTATATGCCATTAAAATTACATTTGCAACTTTATTGTTAATAATTTGTTGTTTTTTTGTTAATAAAGTCTGAAGAGGTCAGCAGATGTACTGACTAAACGTTGCTGAATATAATTAAAATTAAGTGAATTTCCAGCCACTATTTCCCTTCTTTCCATTATTACAAAATTTATCATTTAAGAAAACTATAATGGTGTGACGTCCGGGTCACTCTCAGGAACGTCTGAGGCGGACGTTTTCTCAGGTGCTCTGTTTGGTTTGCGTATGCGACGTCTGAACCGGGACGAGCAAATTGGTGAGGAAGGCTTCTACAAACGCGTGACGCGAACGCGGTAAAATTAAGTTTCTTTTTTAATGTAACAGTTCTAGCGAATATCTTAATTCACCGGAGTCGGCTCTTACATATAACTATCTCAGACCATGCCAAAATAGCCACAGAAAATTTAATAATTAACGAATGCGTTGCGAGTGTCTTGTTGAAAAATATTCCAAACCATGTCGGTCTATTTTTCAAAGACAAAAGAAAACGCGGAGGAAGCTAAGTTGTAGTTGAAAAGGAGAGGAAAGTGTAGAGAGAAAAAAAATTGTTTTTTTTGACTTCCTTTTATTCCCTTTTTTTTGAAGTTACTTACTGGCACTTGGAAAATTGGACCTTATTGGAACCGGAGGTGGCACTAGATTGAACTAGATTGCCTTTTTTCGATAGTGCACGCCCTTTTATAGCATGGGAGTGGTTGGGAGGAAAATCCCTCTCTCAATCCCTCAAAATTTGGGAAGAGTGGAAATGGCAGCAGTTTTTAACTGACTGACTGAGATTTTTCCACTTTTCCCTTTCGGCTTTTGAGCCTTAATTGGTTCAGGGGCGTGGTGGAAATTGGGGGCGTGCGCTCAAGGGTATGGGCCCTAACTCGTTAGATGGCTCTCCAAGTACCATTTTCGTTACAATTTTAACTTATAATTATTAATTGATTTATTACATAAATTTCATGGATCATTCTTAACAATACCACGGCTTACATACTATCTAAAACATATTTTATTCGAAAATTTTTAATTCTAGATGTTTATAACTTGTAACTTAAATAATTTGTTGTTTAAATAATCCGGAGTGAGAAGGGAGAACTTGTGCATTATTTATGGGTTGTACTAAAGTCGTTTACATCAACTCAATATATTATCGAGGGTGAATTATATATAATATAGTTTCCGAAATTGTTTTTTTTTTCGAGTTTTGTTGGTCCTTTGATTTATTTAATTTCTGCACAATTAATTTTTTTTTAAGACTTGAATATAAAAGGAAAATTTTTAACAGGTTATTTTTATTATTTTGTTTATTGTAATATATTTTGTTTTCTACAAATACGATTTTAATTTGTGTCGCATAATGGACTAATATACTATCATTTATTTATGTAATTGTCTTTTGTTGTAACAGGCTGCCGTTTAGTCTAAAATATCTCTTGAACGTACCTATAAAATGACTAAACGACGCCTAGTTATCTATATGTTCGAAGCACATCAACCTACCTTGTCTTGGAGTGCGCCTGCGCAGAGTCTCTTCGATACTCCGAGTTGGGTTCCCCCAACTCGCCGCTTGGCGGCGCTGTCGCCCTTGCTTAGTGGCGCTCGCGCGGCAGCTGCTGGAAACTCTGTTGACGATTCCCGCCTACCGGTATCCGCGTGATCCGTGCTACGTTACCGGCGAATTCGAATCGAATGTAAACAAATATAGACGCGACCTCCGGACAAAGGAAAGACTAAATAACGATGACTCGGTTAAGTACAGACTATCGTTCACTTTATTAAGGAGATTTAATTACACGGGGGTTTTGCCGAGAGACTTGCGCACGCTAACGCGAATGACAATCTACGCAGTATGAGAGAGAGAGAGAAAACCCGTTCGCCGCGAACTAACCGCTCGCACGCAACAATTGATCTCTTCGCGCACGCTGCGCGGGATCGCACGCTGTTAACAATAATAGGGGAAGGTGCACCTACCGCGAGAACGATGAGGATACGGTGGCCAACCGTATCCGAACAACAAACTGCTGAAAAGCTGCTTCGCTGCTCGCCGCACCGCCGCGATTACTGTTGTTGCTGTTGTTGTTGCTGCTGTCGCTGCTATTGCTGCTGCTGCTATTGCTGCTGCTTTTGCTGCTGCGGCTATTGCTGCGGCCACCCGCGCACTCAAGTCACGCTGTTCGCTTAAGCACCACCAAACGAAACCACACTCACGGCTCGGAAAAGGGTTAGCTCGACGCTGACAGACTGAGTGTCACAGTCATACTGCCTGTTGAACGCTCCCCTCCCGGTCATTGCCCCTACGCGCCCTCTCTCTCTCTCTCGCGAACCGATCACGGCTTCTCTCGTTCAGGCGCTCATTAACCTCGCGCGAGTCGAACGATTTTCGGTAATCGTTGCATTGTATATTTATTAAACTTTCTAACTTATTTAGGAAAAATAGTTTCAAAACTTTTGGATATTTTCGTTAATTGTGCGGAAATTACGAGGGTGGTCCGATAAGTACATAGACTACAAAAGAAAAACGAAAATTTTGGAAAAGTGGCTTTTTATTTTTCAACATAGTCTCCTTTTAGTTCGATACACGTGGCCCAGCGATGCTCCAACTTCTTTAACCTGTCTGAAAAATACGTTTCCTCGAGGTCTGAAAAGTAGGCTTCCGTGGCAGCGATTACCTCCTCATTCGACTCAAATTTCTGCCCGGCGAGTGACTTTTTCAAGTTTGGAAACAAAAAGAAGTCGCACGGGGCTAAATCTGGAGAATACGGTGGAGATACGGGCAGCAGTTCGTAGTCTAATTCGACCAATTTGGCCATGGCGACAGCGGAGGTGTGAGCCGGTGCGTTGTCATGGTGGAAGAGCACTATTTTCTTCGCCAAATGGGGCCGTTTTTTCTGCAATTCGACGTCGATTCGACCCAATAATTCGGCATAGTACAGCCCTGTGACCGTTTTGCCCCTCTCCTGGTAGTCGATGTAGATCACACCTTGTGAATCCCAGAAAACGGTGGCCATCACCTTTCCGGCCGATGGGGCAGTCTTCGCCTTCTTCGGAGCACTTTCGCCGGGTAAAGTCCACTGTTTCGACTGTTCCTTGGTCTCTGGTGTATACCAGTGGATCCATGTTTCGTCGACTGTCACGAAACGACGTAGAAACTCCTTCGGATTGCGCTTAAACAGCGTTAGACATTGCTCTGAAGTTGTCTCACGGTTGCGCTTGTTGTCCGGAGTGAGCAAACGCGGCACCCATCGCGTCGACAGCTTTCTCATGCCCAAAATTTCATGCAGGACATGACCCACGCGGTCTTTTGAGATGCCTACGATCTTAGCTATCTCGCGCACCTGCAATCGTCGATCTGCCAATACGAGATCGTGAATTTTTGTCACGTTATCCTCCGTGGTAGCCGTTTTCGGACCACCTGGACGTGGCTCTTCAAAAATCGACGTGCGACCACGTTGAAACGCGTTAAACCAATTTTTGACGGTCGCCATCGAAGGAGAAGAGTCACCGTACACAGCATCCAAGCGCTTTTTGATTTCGCTGCGCGATTTCCCTTCCAAAAACAAGAATCGAATCATCGACCGATACTGCTCTTTTTCCATTTTTCAAAAATCAACGGACACACTTGCTTTCACACGCTCTCAAAAATAAACTACAACTCCGATCCGGCTGAAATCTTGACAGTAACCATCGAGAAGGTTGTACTACGTGATAGAATATTTCTTTTGCGAGAGTGGCGCCATCGGGCGGTGAGGTTAAGTACTTATCGGACCACCCTCGTACGTCTGATCAAAAAATGTACGGAAGGTTTCAGGGAGCTGCGAATTTTTCCTATCATTCTGTTATTTTCTTAACATTTTATTTAAAAATGATTATTGAATTTTCTTTCCTATGATAAATTTTTTAGCTTTTAAAAGTGGAAATTTTTTGGGAGAAATCGTGTAACAGGATGTAGTTAAAATTCCGCTGCTCCTTTACTCTATACCTAAACCTACTCAAAAAAAACTTTACGATTTTTCGGAGTAAAATTTGGAAACCGTGTGACCAAGGACCACCTGTTTTCAGGTTTTTTTTGTTTCAGCTGTGCTCTGATTATTCTCTCCTTCTTCTCATTCCCAGAATTAAAATCTAAGTCACATATTAAACGCACACAAAAAAAACATTTTCGCTAACATTAATCGGGCCGACGTTACAAGGGAATCAAGACAGTATGTTACGTATTTCTTACTGATAGTTATTAACGGGTACAAGATTTTTTAATTTTTTGTCAATAAGAAAAGTTTGTTTCGTGCTAAGCGGCGATTGCATAGTTTCAGGGGCTATTTGCCTTAGTCCGAGTGCTGATTCAGTTATTTGGTCCAGCCTTTCAATTTAAGATTCCAATTGTAAAGAAAATTCAAGTCGTTATTACCGGAAAGTTAATTTTTTTAGTTACTTTTCATTTACCTAAATGACTGATCGAACTACGCAAATAGATAAATATCCGATTGTCATAAATAACTGCAATTATCTAGAAGGTCTACAAAAAGAAATATTAGAATTTGATATTATTTTCAGCAACATCCACTACTTTTAACGGTTAAAACTGAAAGCCGCCATGGTCTGACTCCAAATAACCCATACTTGGCTTTTAGAAGAAGAACTGAGAAAATGCAAACTCGCAAAAATCGTAAAAATGACGAAACTAGTTATGAAAAAATGTTAAAACTTCGAAGAGACCTGAGTAGAGCTGTAACTCTATTAGAAATGGTAAAGAGAAGAGAAAAAATTAAACGAGAACATTTACATCTAACAATTGAAGTATTTGAAAAGAGGTATGAAATTTTTTATATATATATGGATTTCTTTAGTACTATAAAATGGATTTTTATTAGAATATATTCAATTTGTAACGTAATAATTATTTTTATCGATTTGAATAGATTACAATGAAAAGTAATGTATATTTTATATATAGATATCAAGCGCAAGATTTCAGTGGGCAAATACTTGCTGAAGTGTCAGCACTTAAAGCAATAAGACCAGCATTTGCTCCCCTTTTTACTAATCAATTCGGTGTCCACCAGAACTGGTCAAATAAAGTTTGTGGAAAAGTAAGCAACTTCAATTGTAAATTTAATATAATATAATTACTTTAGAATATCTAGGTAAAAATGTAATGAATTTTCAAAAATTAATTAATTAGGATGAAATGATACCAAGAAAAGAAAAACGTCAGTATAAAAAAAGAAAGCATAAAATAGATATGAGAAGTGGAATTTTGGATGATAGTATTCACCATAGTCCTACAGTTAATAGCGAAAATAACAGAATAGTTTTAGCAGATGGACTGGACCCACTGGGTAGTTCAGATGACGACAATTTACTTCCATGTCACTCAAATTCAACACTTCCACGAGACCGTGACGATGAAGATATAGCTGATGAAGGACACTTTGCTTTCCGTAGAAATAGGAATAATAACTATTTACCTGTAAGAATACCGTTGCAATATTTAACATATATATAATATAGAGACTTGAATACTTATGTAATATTGATTTCTCAATTACTGCATTTATTAATTTTTTGGTTCGCAGCCTATATCAGAAGGACTTGGAAACTGGCCTAGGATAAATAAACATGACGAAAATATGCTTGAACAAAAATATAGATTTGCTTTAACTAGCATAAGGAAACCTTCACCGAAGTGCATTGGACTAGCAAGACGTCGTTTAGGCCGTGGTGGGAGGTATAATCATTAGTTTATAAAGTAACATAAATTATTTATTAATTTAACTAAAAGAACAAACCAAATTTTTTTAGAGTGGTTCTTGATCGCTATTCTAACGACCTAGATGCTATATGGTCATCTTTAGATTTCACAATACATGAACCGAAACAGGACGTAGGACCCAGTTCTTGTACAACTAATGATATTAATAAAGATTGGTATGGTATTTGTATTTTGATACTCATTCTTCTAAACTAAAAGATATAACAAACTCTATGAATCTATAGGTTACATTTTCGTCCAAAGACACCTCAACTTTTAGAACATAGTCATAGTGAAGAAAGTAGTGATGATGAACCTGAGACAAGGAAAGATAATTCAAGGCCACAACCTTTTTCATATCCATTTCCATCTGAGGCTACATCTATTTGCATAGACATTGAGCCAGATCAAACAGATGATGTACCTCCTTTCTCATCCGAGTTCAATATTTCTGACTACTTTTCTACTGATAACTTACCGGATTTTGATTTTGCATTTGAAGCTAGAAATAAAATTGAATTACCAGACAACAATAACTGGCAGAGCGATGAGTTAGGATGTTCACGCTTCTTAATCCTGCCAGAAGTCGAAAACTTATTTGCACCATCGATTCGACCTCAATTTAGTGATACTGTTAATAATGTAACTATATCAAACTGCTCTAGTATGTCTTCATCGTTAGAGATCGATAACCAATTGATATCTGCAAATTTTTCAATGTCTACGCAATGTACAAGTGTTGATGTTGAAATTCAATCGAACAAGCAATTTAAACAAAATAGGCAATTACTAAATGATAATAACGTTGCTTCTATGCTTTCCAAGTCTCTGATTGGTCCAACTCACAATAGTAATAATATTGGAAATGTTCATTTGTTGAGTGCAACAGGTACAAGCTGTAGTAGTGATAGTATTACAAACATCGATAATGGCCATCATGATTGTTCTATTGATCTAGCACACCATATAAAAAATTTACCAAATAATATGCATGTAATAAATAATCAATCAACAATTTTTGTATCACAAAAACATTCATCGTCCAATTTGCTACCTGGTTATAGTAAATTTACTAGTCTTGCTAGACAACAGCAACAATTCCAAAATCAAGTTCAAGAAACTCTAAAGCCAGGAGAAATGACACTGAATCAGAATAGGTAGGATTCTAGAGCCAGGTTCTTAGAGAGTTATAAATCTATGTAAAATTGTTATTTTTTATCACAGATGTTTGAAGTCAATTCCTTTTTCTAGTTGGTAGTAGTGCCTTGATTTGTATTTCTATTATGAAGCTTATATAGTATCTACACTCATTTCAATTCTTACTATTTATCTATCAAGAAACTTTGTAATAAGCCGAAGCAAATGTACCTAAGGTCGATAACTCGCATACCCTTATATATTGCTCGCGCGCGTGTTAATTTTTAATTTTTAGTATATTATTGTTTACTTCGTATAATACAATGTAAGTAATAATTAGAATTAGAGCCATATATTATGTACACTAGGTATTAGATCTCTGAAGAAATTAAGAAAAAGGACGTTACGCGTGATGCAAAAATTTATTTAATCTAAAATGTGTATTATACAATAAATTGATCCTACCTCCTTGCAAAGTCGATTTTAAGGTGTGGAATATTCAAATATTTGGATTTAATTAAATTCATATTTTTCATATGTTTTTCATTTTTTCATACGGATTATGTATTTTAATGTCACGAAATTTTTCTTATTTATAAATTGTATTCATTTATTTATGAGTTATAATTAATAAAATTACAAGCTGTAAAATTTGATACATTACAACTTATATATTGTATGTATATAAAGCATAACTTTGATAACGTGATTGATAATAACTTTTAAATACTCAAAAATACATGCTATAAACTTTGATGTCTATTTAGATAAAGTACTTAAGAAAAAAATTTTCCGTTATTACCATCAATATTTATAAATTATCAGTTTCTGATCATCTATAAGCTATAAGTAATAAAAAGTGAAGAAACAGTTTTGTATTTTTTTTCAACCTTAAATTTGACGTTCTGATATTTTATTTCGATATATGTACCAATAATTTAGTTGCACTAAATAATGATATCATTTACACAAAGTTTCAAAGAAAGATACTGTGTTAATAAATAAATGGTTCTACCAAAACCACCTTAGGTGTTAATGTAAGAAACCTAATTAAGTAAGGATAAGTCATTTCAATACTTACAGCGAGAAAAAAAAGGGAGAGAGATAATCGCGCGCACTCACCATTTTCTGTAGTTAAGAAAATAATTTGCCGTTATTACTATCAATATTTATAAATTATTGCAGGTTTTGATCATCCATAAGCTATGAATAATAAAAAACGAAGAAATAATTCTGTTTTTTTTTTCAACCCTGAAATTTAATGTTCTGATATTTTTTTCAGCATGTGTTTAAATAATTCAGTTGCTATAAATAGTGACATTATTCACACATAATTTCAAAAAAAGTACTGAGCTATTGAATGAACGGTTCTACCGAAGAATACTTAAGATGATAACGTAATAATCTCATTGATAGAGGATAAGTAAATTAATTACTCACAGCGATAAAAAAGAGGTAAAGAAATGGTCGCGCGCTTACGTCGTTTTCTGTTTTATGTAGTTATATTACATTCGGCTAGGCAAGGTAGGCCGAGTCAGGCGCTGTCGTATGTTTTTTTACTCTTTTTCCATGCGTATAATTCAGATCCTCGTCTCTGGATTTGACAGGTAAAATCTTATAGTAATTTATTTAATTATTTACTCCACTGTAAATCAATTAAATAATAATTAATTCTTATATTTTGGGAAGGATTCATATATATGAATAATATAAGCAGCGAGAAAAAGAGGAAAAAAGATGGTCACACGCTCTCGCCGTTTTTCGTTTTATCTAGTTATCACATTCGGCTAGCCAAGGTAGGCCGAGTCGAGCGCTGCCATACGTCTTTTTATTCTCTTTCCATACGTATAATTCAGATCCATGTCTCTAGGTTTAATAGACAAAATAATTTAATAACAAAATAATTTCAATATCAACCCCTATAACCACCCTTATCAACCCCTGAATAGGCTAACCCACCTGACCCAGGGTAGAGCGAGATCAATCAACTATTTCTTTTTACAAAAATCTCACATGATACAGGTATTGTTACGTGACAGTTTTGATGTCTTTTCAAAACGGGCACGTGTTAGACCGTTTTTAGCTCCGAGTGGTCCTGACTCGGGCGAATTAAACCTTCGATACGGTACCCCGACCGTGTCAGCGAATGGATCGCGTATTTGCCGATAATATCCGAGGTTCGTCCGCACGAGCGGTAAGCGAGAGTAATGGGAAAGAAAAAGAGGGGGGGGGGCTCTCTGGCTTATTAAAATAAACTTACACGGGTACGTTGGATAGATTTATATATATTCTGATATATCAAATAACACGGTTATAATAATATCGCGCTACTATCTAGTTCGCGACTTATTAAATAAGTATTCTAAAATGCGCGGTCGGTCGTGCTTACACACCTGGTCCCGGTACGCAAACAAATGGATTTACCAAAAGGGGAACCTTGAATATGGTAAGTAGTATTGAAGTAAAGAGAGAGAGATAAAAAAACTACAATAAGGAAGAGATTTCGGTTTATCGAGAATTGAAGCCGGAAGTACTCACTCTGTTGTTTTGGTCCGAAATATTGTTTGGTTCGTGATATGGCCAATATATTTCTTTTTATCCAATAGTGTAGTTAATCGCAAGAAAGTGATAATTCGTATGGTCAACTTGTCCAATATATTCTTTTTATCCAATAGTGTAGTTAATCGCAAGAAAGTGATAATTCGTATGGTCAACTTGTCCAATATATTCTTTATCCAACAGTGTAGTTAATCACAACTCAAACAATTATATTCTCAAACTTCTATTATAGTTTTTAACTTCAAGTAGGAAAAACGTAGGCTTCTTTATTGAGCGCTCGCTCCTAACTGACTCAGGATTCCCTAGCTCTGCTTCCGCTGGTTTATTTTATAGCCTTTGTCCCGAGCATACCGTTTCTCTCTCGCGTATACGCTTCGGATGTTTACGCTTCTCGTGGCGGGTCATCTTACCTAGCTAAGCACGCTGACTGCAGCGTGCTGTCCCAGCATGCCGGCTCAGCGTGAATCAGCCTCTATCGCTCATTCCCACCGAGTCGCGCACACGAATACTGCTAGCTATGCTATGTCCGAACGAAAATCCCGAGAGCAAGGTTTTATTCGATAGTATATTTTTTTGTAACATAATAAGACGTCACGTAACAGGTGTGTTAGCCTATTTATGGTTCAAATAATTGAGATTTTTGTAAAAAGAAACAGTTGATTGATCTCGCTCTACCCTGGGTCAGGTGGGTTAGCCTATTTAGGGGTTGATAAGGGTGGTTATAGGGGTTGATATTAAAATTATCTCACCAGTAACATAAAACAGAACAATTTTAAAGAACAATAACACAAAAATTGTCAGGATTTAATTAAAATTGGCGCGTGTGTCGAATTATTTCCGATTTCCATCACTGTGCGCCGTGCTGAAAAATTGAATCTTCCGCACGTATTTTATCGGCGTTATTTTTCATATTTAGTTCTGCGGATTGGAAAATAATTTTATTACAAAAGTATCTTCATGAATTGTTTACAAAAAAGTCAGCTAAAATTATTATTTTGCTTATAAATTAAATATAACATAAAATGATTTTTGAAATGTGGTCTTTTTCTTAATTGATAAATAAAATAACAATTTCAGAGTAATATCTCCAGTGACTTTTGTAGATAATTTTTTAAAGAATAACTTTTTTCTAAAACTTTTTACGCTAAAATTATTATTTTTCAACCTATACAGTGTAACGGGGTAGGACCGTTTAATTATTTAATCCACGCTATTATTCTAATGGGGAGCGCGAAACTGTCGATGCTCAATACGTGTTCGGGAGAGCACGATAAAATAGGCCTCAGTCAACCAGTAATAGAAATTAACCTGTAATAGAATGAGTGGAAGCTATGAGGTATAAACGAATCGAAAAACACTTGTTAGTAGTACGAATTGAATCCTTTATTATTATACCTCAGTATCTATAAAAGGTCGGCCCGCGCGTTTGTTTACATCCGCGCTCGCTGATCGGCAACACACTTTGCCGGTACGCACGCCGCTCTTTGTTAGCAGAGCCGTTACATGTACGCATCGAATACCGAAAATTATTTATCAGTCATGCAATTCCGATCGCGTAATTAAGCTGGCCAGCTTACCTTATTTTTGCAGACGGTTGGAGAAAAACAAAGAGTAATCGCACTGCACGAAACAGTCTATTATTGTTTTGTTCGCGGGTCGCGGATGCGCGCACGGAGTGGTTTCGCCCTCGATGGCGAAACCTCACACACACACACTGCTTGGCTCTAAGCTGTAGACAGGATGACTCCCTGGAGGCTGCGATCCCGGATCACTGGCTGCTGCTGCTCTGTCGCGTTGTATTCGTCGAGGATGCGTAACTTGGCGGTGATAATAGCGATAGCGGGCGGACACTATGATGGTCTATGCTTCACTCCTGGATCACTAATTGCTGCTATTTTCGAAGCGTGTAGATGTCAAGGGCACGTGAATTGATGGAAACGATAGCGTAAGCGGACGGACACTATGATGGTCGATGCTTCACTCTTCAAATTCATTCGCGCGCGTTCCGTCTGCTCGCGTGCCGAATTCCTTCGTTACCTATTCTGTCCCCCCGGCAGGTGCTGCCCTCACAGGCAGCAATTATGCTAAATGGTCAGCGCTAATTTGACGTTTACCGTCACAGCCCCCTTCCAGTCTGAACCTATAGGGTTCTCGACGATAATCCCATTAGCGCTACCTTTTCCGAGGAGGAGAAGAGGAAGGATAATAAAGGGTTGTAGTCCAAGTGATGTTAACTTATAATTTATTGGGCGGTAGGGCGATATGTCGGTGGCCCTGCCCACGGGGGCAGGGCATCATCACCTGGTTGGTCACGGTGGTAGCTCCTGGCCCTGGTCGTCCAACGGGGGTCGGCCGCGCGCCTCCCACCCCAGCCTCTCTTGGACCAGGTCGGCGTGTTGTCGCATGCGTGGGCAGCGGTCCGTGCGGGTCACCCCGGGGTAGTGGCATACGTTGCACCCTTCCCACTGGGCGCGGGAAAGGGTGCCCCGCGGGAGCCCTCGCTCTCTGGGGGTCAGAGGCAACCCGTTTCTACGGTTCGGGGCGGACCACAATGGTCTTTCGACCGTGGAGTCCGCACCCGCGGGGCGTAAAACCACATTAATGTGGATGGGCCCCGTTGCTTGACCTCCCTGGCTCCCGTCCACATTTACCACCAGGTTTACCCCGCACTTTTGCGGGCCCTGGTGCGAATTACTCCCCGACCTGGTTCCCGGAGCCGCTGTTCTGGCTCCGATGATCGGAGACTGGGGGAGGCTGGTGGTATTGCCACTCGCCGGGCCCTCGATGGCCTGGCGGAGGCGCTGCTGTACCTCCCTTAGGGCCGACGCGAACTGGCGACGGCGGGACACCACTTTCTCCCAATGGTCAAGGTCATCCGGGTGGTGTCCCGCGGCTGTGTACGCATCGTATTCGGCGTACACAGCCCGCTGGAGGGCGTTGAGGGTCGTCCAGCCTCGCTCGACCTCCCTCAACCCCTCGACTATTTCCTCCCAGGTCCTTTTGCCAGAGGGTGGTGCCTGGCTCGGGACCTGGGGGGCCAGGTCGCGTCGGGGGCACCCTCTTCCGTTTGAGTGCCCACTGATGCTGTCGGGACCCTCATGGGGATGGGTCCCTTTGGGGGTCCAGACGGTGGCGCAGCGTCGTCGCGCGTGATGCCGGGTGTCGTTGTCGGCGTCGTGGAGGTTTCCTCTATCGGGAGCTCTTCTATGAGCACGGATGACGAGCTCTCGTGTGCTCGCACCCGTGCTCGCTTCTCTTCCTTCTTCTTCTCGGCGAGCAGGTGGAGTGCGGCATGAACCACCCCCTCGACGGCGGGACCTAAGTCCAAGCCGATGAGGGCGGCTGCCGCTTGCTCGAACTGTTCGAGTGTTATCTGCATCCTGTAAATGTCCAGCGAGTTAGTATCCTGAAATAACTTTGGATATCGAATGTGGGCGCCTGTTCGGCTGCCCAGGACCTTCGTCGCCGGAGTCGAAGGTGGGGTCCTTGGCGTCGGTCTCCCAGGTCCTTCGTTCGCCGTGTATCATGCATCCACGGTTGTCGCTTTCGGTGGTCTGCCCCTCTTCCTCTTCACGATGATGGGAGGAGGGACTCGTGTCGTTTGTCGATGTTGTGTAGTGTGTGTTGTTTGCGCGGACTTACGAGGTCTTCCTCGTGGG